TATATATATATATATATATATATGAAATTGATACGTGGTATGTTTATTGATGATGATGAGGTGCATTTATATGTATGATATACATTATGTTTCATATTTAGGAGATATAATGACCCTTTATTAGTGTATAATCCCATGTGGGTGTATTGTGGTGCTTTATTAATATGTGATAAAGGATGCCTAGGTGGTATTGTGGCCTTAAGAGTCATAGTATTAAGTATAAAACTTATTATGCAAAGGAAATATCATACACTTTGCTAATTCTCTAAAACACATCAAACTCAAAAAAAAAATCCTATATAATTAAAAAGAAATAATAGAAAATTGTTAAGATAAAACACTATTGATGAGACTATAAGGAATATATTGTAGATGGACTAACTAAACTTAACATGATTAGACATGTAGATTGTCTCACATGTTCTTCATAACCAATACATCACAACTTTCCATCATGACTCCAAATCATGGAAAAGTTTTTTCACCACCTTCCTTTAACCTCAAATGAAAAATTAATATATGCTTTAAGCATTTTTTTTGAATCTCAATTTGCAAGCTACTCCACCATCATTCTTAATTTTGACATCTTAAAATTGCTTCAAACAAAGTCTATGTTGCACGGATTGTGTCATATACAATGACTTATAAGTTTCATCCATATTGATGCAACAATTCTCTCATTTCTAACTTTCTTCAATATCTTATCACAAAAATTATGATGCTTTTGGCTTTTCTAACTTCAAGAAAAAGGCATTGACATGTTTGTTTCACCCTTTTACATATCAACATATTCTTTTTGTATTAAGATAAATTTCATCTTGATTCTCCATAATTTAAAGTTGTTCTTAGAAGAAAAACTTCTCAATATCAAACTTGATGATCATGTGCTCAACCTTGTTTTTGAAAGCACTTCATGATAATATCATCTGATGAATATACATGTTATTTGTCTTATCAAACAATGCATTTATTAATGAAATGACAAATGATAAAATGTCTTGAACACGCTACACTACTTAACGTTTATCAACGTTCAAAATATTTAATACATGTATGAAAACGTACTTTGATGCTTATATACTTTATCTCTTGATATTCATACAGATAAATAAAGTAGAAATATATGATCAGAATCACAACATTTAAGAAAAAAACATTGTTAGAGAAGAAAAACATCTCGGGAATGTTTCCTTGACATCATTCGCTCTGTCACATGGTAGAAGTTCAAGTTTTGTCTAAGGCTATAAGAAAAAGCTTTAAACCGTATAAAGTAGACTAAAGTCATAATTCACATCGAAAGGCTTCCAACTCTTTAGAAGTCAACTTATTGGTCTAACAATAATCTTTTAAGAGAAGCTATATATAGAAGAAAGCTTGAAGAGAAGATGTTGTTGATGAAAAGCGCAAGAAAGACAACATAAGAAGAATAACAACATGAAAAGAAAGAAAAACTTAAAGTGTTCTTATATCGTCTAACGCTCAATATGTGTTGATGGATGAGAAAACTTTTCACTGTTTTCAAATTTATATACTGTGGATAAATAAATTAGAAGTGTTTTTGGATTGTAATAAATATCCTTTACACTCTGTTCGGTTTGAGGGATTTTACTATTCAGAAACATTAGCGAAGATGGATTGACTTTTAAATTATTATTTTTATTTCAAACATTTGAAGGCGATGATTTCGTGTGATTTATAGGATAGCTCTTTTTTTTAATCATGGTTCATATGCAGATATTTGAAGTGATTTTAGCTTAAATCTCACTTTTGCCCTTCAATAGTTTTAATAACTTCAACTTTCACAATGCATAAAATTGTTGTAATCGATTTTATTCGATTTCAAATTTTTAATTTTTGTTAGATATATTATCTTTATTTTATATTTATCTTTTATCTTTAGTTAGTTTATTATTATTTCTTATTTGTATTTTGGGCTTAGTCTATATTTCTTCTATTATAAATAGTTTCCTATGTGTATATTTAACACAAGAAAGATTAATCTCAAATATAGTTTTTCACTATATTCAACAATTTTATTAATAATAATACCACTGAAATGATAATAAGAAAAATAAAATAAAATAAATTATAATAATAATATTAACATTAAAAAATTGTATTTCAAACAGAAAAATTATACTTAAATAAAATATTATTTCAATTTTTTTATTAGTTTTTAGTTTTTTTACAACTTCAAATATTTTTTGTCAATATTATTTATAAACATCATTTGCTATTATTACTAAGGATAATTTAGTAATCTTTATTTTTTATTATTAAAACATTTTATTTATCTATTGGTTAAATCTTACTCAAACTTTACTTTCAAAATCACTTTTAATCATCTCTAAATCTTTTCAAAAAAACAACATATAATTTATTCTTAAATTCCTTCAAATTTATGTATTTTCTTACCCTCAAATCCACTCTCTGAACACCCTTCAGAGAACACACCAAATCCCATGTACAAAATTTATAAAAAGACTTGGAGAAGATACTACAAAATAATATTTTTAAAAAGTTAATTTAATTATATCTCAAGGATTTTTCCGATGGACATTCACTTCTTAGTTTTTGTATAGAATAATTATCACATGAAAAGGTAAACCTTACAAAATCACAAAACTAATCGTGACGGTGATGGGTAAAGAAGAAAAGATAAAGAAAAAGGGAAAATGATAGAAATAGTTTCATATTTTAGCTTGCATGCCAGAGTAATGCGACTTTTTCTTTTAATAAAGTACCCAGCATATTCCCTGTGTATTTAATTTGAACTATTTTGTAAATCTTGTAAAAAAAACTATTTTTAGATCAACTTAACCAAAAATTGCATGTACCAAAAATGAAAAACTTTTATAAATGAACTTATACTGATTAAGAAATGGTTGTTTGCATATTCTTTTTCTTATAAAGTTTTAATTTGACTTTTATTTCGAGACACTTTGTGATACAAAATATATAATTTTATAATATAACGCAGTTGAAATTAATGTCTTTTTTCTAAAACGAATTGTTTAAATAGTAACGAGTCTAATTTCTTTAAACCAAATTTTGAATAGTGAATAAAAAAAAGCGATTTAAGCTTGACTATTCAGAACAATTGTCCTCAGTGTACTTGAGGATATAACCACAAATAATATAATCATCGATTCAATAGTCTAATTTTACAATATTTTTGAAATAAAATTTATTTTGACATTACTAATTGATTTAACTATAATTTAATGAATTAGATATTTATATATGACAAGAGTTTAGTGTTTTCAAACACACTCATTATTAAGATTAATTGGAATTTATTGAAAACTATTATTTGAGTTTCACTCCAAAAAGCCAGATTACCTAACCAGAAACGTTTAATTTAATTATATCAATAAATCCATCTTAAGTTTATATATAATTCAAAAAAATCATTATCTTATTTATGTTTTATAATGTTTGTCTTAATTAATATTAATTACTACTATCACTTAATTTCCTGTTTTAAATAATAACATAAGAGAGGTAAAATTACCATAAAGGTTTACAGTAAGACGAAAGATCCATGATTGTTTAAAATTTTCAACAAATTCTCCTTAATAGAAAATGTGTGGGAAAGTGCGTTTGTGGCTTTTCTGGCAAGTTCACAAGACTGCACAGTGATATGTGCATCTATCACGTTTTCACTAGCTGCTGATAGCCACAAAAGAGCTTAGATATAGAATCGTTTCTCACCCACAAATTCTTCACCATTCAGCATGTAACAAACGCAACACAGAAAGAAAAGAAAAATATATATATATATATATATATATATTACCTTTCAAAATGGATTTTATTAATTGATAATTAATAATAAAAATAATTAACACGGAGAGAGAAGAAAATGTGAATAGAAAAGGAAGCGACTCAGATCTGGCTTGAAACGCCTATAAATAAACCCGTAAACCATTGCTTATACCTCGCACTCTGTTCTCGGCTTCAACTTGCTCCATAGAAGCTAAGAAGAAGCCACAGAGAGAACCGGTCTCCTACACTCATTCTCAAGGTACGAGACTCTCTCCCTCTTAAGCCATGCTATGCCATGCCTTCTTATCACTCTCTGTTTCAATTCTTCTTTTCTGTTACTCTGTTGTCTTCTTTCAACCACTTCAATTTTGCTTCCTAATTCTCCTCAGATCTGCGCATAAACGTAATGCTCTGTTTCTTTCAATGCTTGTGCTAGTACTAGATCTGCAGCTATTTCTTCTCCTAATGCCTAGATCTACTGGATCTGAATCCATTTTGCTATGATTTCTCGCTTTTGTTGTCACTCTGTCCAAATCTGCTACTTCATTGCATGGAAACCGTTGTTGTTCTACTAAATCGTGAGGTGTTTTCATGCTAGTTGAACTTCTCTTAAGTTGCTCAAACTCATGTGTGTTATAACGTGCTTCCGGGGAATGGGTTTGAAATGATGTCTATAGGGAATGAGAGTCTTGCTTCATAGTCGTCCAGGATACCGTCTTATTGTCAGCTTGTTATGATCTACGAGTGTGGTTGTATGTGTCATTATGGAAATGCTTGCACGCACACACATACACACTCATACACTAACTAATGTTTTCTGTTATTGACCGAAATTTAGTGTAAATCATGAATTTCTATGTGTTTTATTTCTTATATGATGAATTTTGCTTATAATTTTGTGTTTTTCAGTAAATTTTTTAAGTAAGAACTTTTAGTGAAGAGTGTTGTTATAGGCAGTGTGGGTCTAGCATTTGATATGAGAAATTATAGCTATGATCTATAAATATTGCAAAATGTGTTATTACGGATATTAGTGCAATGATCTTTGAGTATTGTTGCATGCGTGTGGTGTTATCGGTTTTGGAGTGTGTAGAAGTAAGAGCTGATTTGGGATTTGATCTGTTCCGACAGAACAATGGCATCTCATATCGTCGGATACCCCCGCATGGGTCCCAAGAGAGAGCTCAAGTTCGCTCTCGAGTCTTTCTGGGATGGCAAAAGCAGCGCCGAGGATTTGCAGAAGGTTGCTGCTGATCTCAGGGCATCCATCTGGAAGCAGATGGCTAATGCCGGGATCAAGTACATCCCCAGCAACACTTTCTCTTACTATGATCAGGTGCTTGATGCCACCGCCACCCTCGGCGCCGTCCCACAAAGGTATGGCTGGACCGGTGGTGAGATTGGTTTTGACACCTACTTCTCCATGGCCAGAGGTAATGCTACCGTGCCTGCTATGGAGATGACCAAGTGGTTCGACACCAACTAGTAAGTGATGATGCCGACTGATAGCGACTGTTGTGATATTAATGTTGTGTTTTAATAATCCGATTACTGAACTGTTGTGGTATTGATCCAGCCACTTTATTGTCCCTGAATTGGGACCTGATGTGAACTTCACCTATTCTTCTCACAAGGCTGTTGACGAATACAAGGAGGCCAAGGCGGTATGTGTTAAAATAAAAGGCCATTTGCTTTATTTTATCATAGCGAAACACTGCTTTTTATGATATGTTATTTAGATCAGGGTAAAATATGAGAAATGACTATTAATTTTCCTTGTTTTTGAGTTTCTCGTTCATAGCCAAGCCATTTGCCCTTTTATATATTTGTCTATATCAACATTATCATCGAATATTTGTTTGTCTTTCAGCTTGGAGTGGATTCCGTTCCTGTCCTCGTTGGCCCAGTCACATACTTGTTACTCTCCAAGCCTGCCAAGGGTGTGGAGAAAACTTTTAATCTCCTTTCTCTCCTTCCCAAAGTTCTTGCTGTCTACAAGTAAGAGTTTTAACTGGTCGGGTGTTATTATTTTCTGTGTAAATTCATGCTATATATCTAACTTGCTTATATGAATAATAAAACAGGGAAGTTATTGCTGACCTTAAGGCAGCCGGTGCTTCATGGATTCAATTTGATGAGCCTACCCTTGTCTTGGACCTTGAGTCTCACAAGTTGCAAGCATTTACCGATGCATATGCAGAACTTGCACCTGCTTTGTCTGGTTTGAATGTTCTTATTGAGACCTACTTTGCTGACGTCCCAGCTGAGGCATACAAGACTCTCACATCTCTGAACGGCGTCACTGCATATGGATTTGATTTAGTCCGTGGAACCAAGACTCTTGATTTGATCAAGGGTGGATTTCCTAGTGGAAAATACCTCTTTGCTGGAGTGGTTGATGGAAGGAACATCTGGGCTAATGACCTTGCTTCTTCTCTGGCTACATTACAGGGTCTTGAGGGCGTTGTGGGCAAAGGTATAGATTCGGCATACATTTCACTGAGTTTTGGGATGCTTTTACGGCCAATGTAGTTGTTTGATATATCTATTGTTTAAACTGTATGCAGATAAGCTTGTTGTATCTACCTCCTCTTCCCTTCTCCACACTGCTGTTGATCTTGTTAATGAGACCAAGTTGGATGATGAGATCAAGTCATGGCTAGCTTTTGCTGCCCAAAAAATTGTTGAAGTTAACGCATTGGCTAAGGCCTTGTCTGGCAACAAGGATGAGGTAATATTCATCTTACATTTACGAAATATATATATTTTATTAATATTATGTGATTACGTTTGTTTACTGAGAAATGCACTGTTATTTAGTGTGGCCAAGCATTTCAACATGCAATCAGGAGGTTTTCGTTATAAATATGAAGTTAAAATAAAATCATATTTTATTAAAATAAGTAAATATTATATGATTTTATATATAGTTTAGTAGGATTTATTATTATTTCGAAAACAATTGAAAGAGCGGATCTAGCATTACAATTAAATAAAGAGAAAAGAAAGGTATGTATTACGTGCATTAGAATTACTTAAGAAAATTCCATTATTGGGTACCTTAATTTCTGTAAATAGAAACAGCATACACTTGTGTGTAATGTGCAGTGCCAGTGGCAGGCCAAATGTCTAGCACTCGTCATGATTAATTTTGGAAACACACAAAATATTGTTTCATCATACAATAAACTAATATCAAATATCTCATGGTTTCATTTTCAGGCGTTCTTCTCTGCTAATGCTGCAGCTCAGGCTTCAAGAAAGTCCTCTCCAAGAGTGACTAATGAGGCTGTTCAGAAGGCTGTGAGTGCTTGTTCTCTTTGTTAATATAGATATGTTGTAAGATGTATTCTGCTGTTACTCATGGCTTCTAATTTTCTTTCCTCTCAGGCTGCTGCATTGAAGGGCTCAGATCATCGTCGTGCAACAAATGTCAGTGCCAGACTGGATGCTCAACAAAAGAAGCTTAACCTTCCAATCCTTCCAACCACCACCATTGGATCCTTCCCTCAGACTGTAGAACTGAGGAGGGTACGCCGTGAGTTCAAGGCTAACAAGTGAGATGCTGAGACTGCTGATCTTTGCCTTGTTTTCATTTATGATGTGCCTTTCTTTTATTGACCATCATGCTGCTTTCTTCAGGATCTCCGAGGAAGAGTATGTTAAGTCAATCAAGGAGGAAATTCAAAAAGTTGTTCAACTTCAAGAAGAGCTTGATATTGATGTTTTGGTTCATGGAGAGCCAGAGGTCAGCTCTCGTCTCATAATGTTTTATATATTGACTTGAATGTTTCGATATATCCAGCACCACTCTTGCTAGATTTTCTGTAATTATTGTCACCTCCAACTAATTGTGAAAGCCATTCGTTGCAGAGGAATGATATGGTTGAGTACTTCGGGGAGCAGTTGTCAGGCTTTGCCTTCACTGTTAATGGGTGGGTGCAATCCTATGGATCTCGTTGCGTGAAGCCACCAATCATCTATGGTGATGTGAGCCGCCCCAAGCCAATGACTGTCTTCTGGTCATCTGTAGCTCAGAGCTTTACCAAACGCCCAATGAAGGGAATGCTTACTGGCCCTGTTACCATTCTCAACTGGTCCTTTGTTAGAAACGATCAACCTAGGTAAGTATAAAATCCACACCCTTGTAATATGAGTAGCGACAATATTCACCAAATTGTTGTTTCTAATTATGTTTGTGAATCCATCTGCAGATCCGAAACCACCTATCAGATTGCTTTGGCCATCAAGGACGAAGTAGAAGACCTTGAAAAGGCTGGCATTACTGTCATCCAAATTGATGAAGCTGCTTTGAGAGAGGGTCTGCCACTGAGGAAATCGGAGCAAGCTGACTACTTGGACTGGGCCGTTCATTCCTTCAGAATCACCAATGTTGGCGTCCTGGATACCACTCAGGTACTTTGAGATCACCACAAGTCACTGGGTTATTATCGTTATTTTTTCATTCTATTTTGCACCATGTAATAATAAACTTTTCTTATTGACAGATCCACACTCACATGTGCTACTCCAACTTCAACGACATCATCCACTCCATCATTAACATGGATGCCGACGTTATAACTATTGAGAACTCTCGTTCTGACGAGAAGCTCCTCTCAGTCTTCCGTGAAGGTGTGAAGTATGGTGCTGGAATTGGCCCTGGTGTGTACGACATCCACTCCCCAAGAATACCACCAACTGAGGAAATTGCTGACAGAATCAACAAGATGCTTGCAGTGCTGGAGAAGAACATCTTGTGGGTGAATCCCGACTGTGGGCTCAAGACCCGTAAGTACACAGAGGTCAAACCAGCCCTCACAAACATGGTTGCCGCAGCAAAACTCATCCGCAACGAGCTTGCCAAGTGAATGGTATAAGAAAGTAGAGTCTCACAAGTCATTGGTTCTGCTTCATATACACCACCAAAGAGGATTTTTCTATATTGGTTGCTTCAATAACTGTGTGCAATATTTTAGATGTTTTAGCATATGCTCTATGAGCAATTGATTCTCCCCTCATCCTCCCCCTTTTTTTTCCTCACTCCCGTTTTCCTAATATCTGTTGTATTTCTGCGGCTCTGCCGCGATGCTTATCGATATGGAATTTTACCAGTTTTGTGCAAATAACATGACTATCTAAATCCAGTATTTCAAAATACAGCTTTCTAACTGGTTGGATAAAACCTTTTGAAAAACGTGTCGGAGTTTTTTTTTTTCTTAAAAAGAAAGTTCAAAATACTGTTATTGTTTTTCCAAATAAGAAATAGTTCAAAATTGAAATATGTATTTCACTGTTGGAACAGTATTCTCAGGAAGTGAAAACCAATCAATGTCCGATCATGATTCTGCAATGGAACCGAGGGCATTTTACCCAAAGCATAGTCGTTACATGGAAGGGGGAAAAAGCAGTTACTAAAGTAATAAAATGAAGATAAATTAGAAAGGAATTATTAATTGCGTTCTTCTGTTGACTAACAATGTTTAGATATGGTATAGATATAAAGAGTATCTGGTGTTCCCCTAGGACCAAGACAACAATATATTGGAGTTCTTACCACTTCTGTTGATTTGCTCCTTAAAATTACCTTAACACATTCGATCTCGGAAATCTTGTTAGCCTTGCCTTTACAGCAAAGGCATTAATACGAAGGCTAACAAGCTTTTCGAGCACGATTGTCTTAAAGTAGCGTGGTTCCCTTTTTTCGACCAATATGTTTTTATGTTTTTAGACATCATGTATGTTACATCGTGCTCAAAATTTCTGGAGTTTGGTAATACAGTTCTTTTTCCAATTTCAATTTCTTGGGTTAAATCTCGTGGTTCTTAATGTATACCATACATAACACATTCACAGCCATCAGTCTTTTATAAAAAACTGTATGTCGAATTACTTTACAACATTAATATTTAATATTCTGATTTAGAATTAAAAATATGATTACTAAATAAATGATAATGAGTTTATCCTAAAGTTTATGTTTTTTAATATATATATATATATATATATATATATATATATATATATATATATATATATATATATATATATATATTATAATAGATACCCGTTAAACAAAAAGTTCTTCATAAAATACATTAAAATAAAAAAAAATATAATTAAGAAAATAGGTAGTTTATACAATATAAACATAAATCATACTTTCTTATAACTAATTTTATTCCATTTTCTTCTTATTTTTATTTATCTTATCGTCAAATTACATATCACCTCTATCACTTTCAAATAAATATTATATGTAAGGGGATGAAAAGGGTTGTTTTGAAGGACCAATAATGATGCGAAAATCTTCATTTAATGTTAGTTTTACAATCATGATAATCATTGTGATGACAATAGCAACAGATATATTATACAATTTTGTGAGCAAGAAATGACAATATAAACAAAACCAATTGCTATAAAAGATGAAACTAACTATGATGCTAGCTATGATGTTAATAATTGTCATCGATGAGCTGTAAGACAGGTTTAAATAAAAGATAGATATAACAATAAATTTATACACTTTCTTCTTTGTATATTTTAACTTTTTTTATTTAACTTTTTTTATTTTATTGATTTATTTTTATATTGTTAATCTTTTAACTTTTTTTCTTTCTACTTAATGTGAAATTTAAATTTACACTTGAATTCTTAAATGTAATAATAACATAGATGAATTGAATGACTTGATTCTTATAATTTAAAATTAACAAATCCAAAGGCTTTTTTTAAAAAATAAAATAAAATTGAACCAAATCTGATTTGAAATTGAATTAAAAATTACTTGAATTCTTTAATTCAATAAGCTACATTTTGCAATTTATATTGAAAATTCAAAACATGAAAACATACAAGGTGAAGTATTTCCTTTTTAGAAATATAATTCACACAATTATATGAATTGTTTGTACAATATTTTTTTTTAATTCTCTCGTACATTATTTATTACATGTAAAAATACAAATACATGTGGTATAAATAAACTGTTGTACCGCATGTCATTCTTTATCACATTCTTTTATTACACTGCCAAGATGTACTTGCTATATAGTTATCATTATTAGTATTCATTAATTATCTTACAGAACTCAGAACATCTGAACATTTTAAGTTTTAAATGCCTCATGCGGAAAATTATGGGGGAAGGAGGTTGACAAAATCTTTTGATAAAAATGCTTTGATTTCAGCATTTATTTTTGTCATAAATATATGCAACATCTTTTCATTCAATTTAGCTTCAAAGATTTGTACCAAGCTACAGAAGTAATATAACACTGTAATACTGTAAGAGATAACATTATTCCTTTTCTTAAAAGTTTACAAATCCTAAACTTCAGTTTCAAGATTTAGTACGTTGCACTAAAGTAAGTATATTTGGCAAGCTTTAGCATGCTCTGCACTTTTCATTAAAAAATACTTTACAACAACTAATCAAGGCAATGACAGTAAAAACTTTCAAAATCATCCTCTAAAATAACTGTTCCTCTTTACCTTCTCGTGAAACAAAAAAGCATAAAGTTTTTAAGCTACAAAATTGGGTAGAATCCAAATTTACTTCACCTCAAAACTCCTTCCACATTGGTAAGGGCTTTTTTTGCTAACTTGAACTTTTGACTTAGATCTCTATTGGTTTTCACAACGTACTCCTTTATGAAAAACTCAAGGCCTTGCCTAAGACTTTCAAGTTCAGGAATCACTGCTGCACGTGTGAATATGTTCCATACCAAGTTTTCAGGATACTCCAAAATGGCCTCAAACAGGATGCGGAAATGCATGACCCTTTTTGGTGTCAACAAGGTGACATCATTCAGATCCACAGTCTTCAAAAGAGTAAGGGAGAGGGTGAAAGTGGCAATCATTTCAGCCACAAATTTTGCCAAGTGCATTGACCTCATAAGAGGCATTGACTCCAGCTCCTTAAGCTGATCCCACAGACAAAACTGAAAAAACACGCATAGGAAAAGACTATGTCAGCTCCTTTGGCTTCTTTCTCATTCATACATCATGCAGAAATTCAATACCTGTAGAGTGAACTTGTGATTTTTGTCATGCTCGCATAACTTGGAAGCCAGCACTTTATAATACTTGTTAAAAACTTTCTCTTGCAAGCAACACTCCACGAGAACACGCATGACATCTCTGTCCTGTATATCATCACATAAAGGAAAAACCATGTAATTGAAATGACACATTACTAAGCTGAAGAAAAAAAGGACAAAGGAAATAAAAGCTTACCTGCTTGCCTGGTAATTCCAATCTTAGAAGCTTCTCAAATGCATCAATATAGTCCTCCCCACTCATTATTATACAAAAGATTGCCCTTCTGGCATCTGTGTTCATCTTTTGAGCAGCAGCCAGCTGGAGCATTCTTTGGGTTTCAAGAACATCTTTGTCTATTCTGTTGGCAACTTCTTCAATATTAACTGTTGAAGATGCTGCATCTCCAGACAACCACCACTGGCCCTTCTTGACAGGATCAAGTAGCTTGCTCCATTTAAGCCCTCTAATCAAAATGTCATCAACTCTTAACTGAAAACAAAATTTTAATTATGACCAAAGTAACCTATCCAGAAAAACAACAAAGGATTGTCTAAGCAAAGCACAGTCTACATGTAACTTCACTTTCCTTTTATTTATTTTATTTTGAAAAATACAATAGAACTGTTAGGAAATGGAATGTTTAAGTAAGAAGGAAAAAAACTAAAAATTAGTTAGTTGGTTAGGAGGGTATATAGGAAGACTATATATAGGTTGGCTTTTGTTTGTTTGGGCTGACGTTTTTGGTTTGTTGAGAGTGTAGAGAGGATCCTTCCTGTGGGAAGGAAAACATTATCTCTGGACAGTGTACAGATTATGTGGCTGTTTTGGAGTGAACTTTAAGTCTAACTTAACCCCACAAAACCAGCTTATAAGGTGAGATTTGCACCTACTTATATACTCTAAATTAACCTTATCTCTAGTTACCCCCTCACACTGAGATATATACATCTCATGCATGAAACTAGACATTAATGGGTGATCCAATAGCGGGTGGAACAATGTGCTAAACAAACAACAAATTTTGCTAGGATAGAATCTAAACCATGACTTTGATTCCATGTTAAAAAGTGGACTTTAAAACTAACTCAACCCCACAAAAAAGGCTTCTAAGGTGAGGTTTGCACCCACTTATATACTCTAAATTAGTCTTATCTCTAGTTGATGTGAGACTTCCAACAGAATCAAATAAACTAGGTATTTCCATTGTCATTGTGAGTGTGGATTACGATTCTGTGTGTGAACCTCATTAACCAGGTTTCTTCTATCAAGAAACCTATCAATTGGTCTGTGACCAGCTGAATCCGAGGAGGAGTCATGGAAGGCCGAATAGGTGCTTTGGAGAGGCGGGCCAGTGAACAGGTAAAGGTGAATGCAGAAGTAAGAGACAGCATTCAAGAAATCCAAGAAATACCGAGAAATGTGAAAGACGTTCAAAAACAAGTGAGAATTATATTAATGGAAAAAAGGGGAGAAAATGTGGAACTCAGTGATGACTCCGAGGAGGAAGAGGAAGAGGTACAAAGGCATTGGATGAAAAGGGTGGAATTACCCACCTTTGAAGGGAATGATCCTATGGGCTGGATAGCGCATGCTGAAAAATTCTGAGGTTCAGAAAATTATTTCAAAGGAGAAATTGCACCTCGCATTTATCAGCATGGAGGGTAGTGCCAGCCATTGGTTCAGGTTCTGGAAACAAAAGACCAAGAACCCTTCTTGGGATGAATTAGAAACTCTAAATAGGAGATTTGGAGGGAAGGAGCGCAACACAGTTTTTGAAAGGTTGGCTTCAGAAGACAGGAAAGGGGAGTGGAAGAATATATCAGGAAATTGAGATGTTGGTATCACAAATTCCAAACTTGTTAGAGGAGCAGTTCCTAACGTATTTCTTTGCGGGACTGACGAGAGCTATGGAGATCACAGGATCCCAAGGACTTGATGAGAGCTATGGAGATCACAAGAGATGTGGAGGACTCGTTAAAAGAACCAAGTTCAAGAGGAGGAAGTGCATACCAAAATAATAATTATACCTTATAATATAAAGGAGGAATGCGAAGGTATCTTGAACTGAAACCTCAAGGGA